GAGAGAGAGAGAGAGAGAGAGAGAGAGAGAGAGAGAGAGAGAGAGCGATACAAAAACGCACAGACTTGCGTGTTACGAGTGTAATGACATTCGCCAGGCATAAATTCACTTTTGACTCGACCCGCTTAATCTTCCATCATTTTTATTAAAGCATGCGTGCCGCGCGTGAGACGAAGGCAAAAGGCGCGCGCGGCAGAAAGAGAGGGAGAGAGAATTCGCTTTTATGCGTGCGTTCCGTGCACGTCCGGTGGGAGGAGCGAATCGTTGGCCGCATAAACAAGTTTTAATCGGCCTCGGGCATTCGCCGCGCTGAATAAATATTGATATCGAGTGACGCGACGGCCAATCAGAGCCGTGGTTTACGAAACAGAGCGCTTTACCGTCTCGTTTGTTCCGCGCGCGCGAATATTTCGCTTTGGTGATAGTCGGCGAGAACGTAACGTCGAAAGCTCTGTTTATTATTTCCAAATTAAGCCCGGCGTTGTGGCGTGCAATTCGCGATACCGCGAGCCACATCGTCGTCGGCAGACACATATGTGGATAGGTAGATCGAGCGATGTATTCAATCACAGCGATATCTTTCAAAACTTTGATCAATTAGCGAAACAGTGCGTTTACGCGGGAAAAGGTTCTCTCCCTTTTTTTCTCGTATTTATCGGAGCGATCCTTTCGGCACGTCATCGCGTACGCGCGATAGTCGGCTTAAGTGACATCGGTCGAGCAAAGCTCTCCTTCTCGCAACGCGAGAACCTCTCAAACGCCGCAGATAAGCATCTCACGAGAGTGCATTACGAGGCCGCGAGTGACTCTCTCTCGCGTTTGATAAGTGATCGAACTATTCCGGGGGAAGGCATCGCGAGTCCTCGTCGACGTCGTGGAGGACCAAGTATCGCGCATGCGTCCGCGGGCTGTCTCCTCCGTGTGTTCCTCTCTTTCGACTTCCCTCTCTCCGTGATGTTCCCTCCGCCGCGAAGGAAGGAAGGACGGACGGAGCGAGGGCGAGAGAGCGAGAGCCGTCCGTCGTCGTGGAGAGAAGATTGGCGCGCGGGAGCGACAAGGACGGAATTTCGCGAGTGCGAGCGAGCGAGTCCGCGTGCTTGCAGGGCAGAGAGGAAGCGAGAGAGCGATGAGGAGAACGAGAGGGACAGGGTGCCGCCGTCTCCATGGCAACGAGGCGAGGCGGGAATGCGACGGTAACCATGGCAGCCGCGGGTTCCTCTCTCGGGCCGACCTGTCTGTCCCTCTTTCTGGCCTCTCGTCCTCCTCGTTCTCCTCATCTAGACCTCTTCCTTCCGCCCACGAGGCGAACGGGCCGCCGCGCCGTGGACGCCGCTCCTCTCGAGCCGATCCGCCGAAGAAAGGTGGGGCGGACTTGGGCTCGCGCGCCGCTCCGCAGAAAAGGGTTTTCTCTTTTTCTTCCTCTTTCCACCTTTCGTTTCGCGCGGCCTCCCGTGAATCCTTTTTTCCGTGTTCACGAGTATCGAGTCGATCTCGACGCGGCGCGCGAGTAACGAGACGGTAGTGACTCGATGGCGACGCGCAAGGACCGATGCAAAATCCCGTGACTTTAGATAACTTTAACAATCTGGATGTGTATCTCATCATCGCGCCGTTGTTTACGGCTTCCAAGATCGATGAGAGACGTCAGATTAATCCATCGCGTTAAACGAAGAGACGATATGTGAAGGCTGTAATATCCTCGCGGAATAATTTTCCGTCTCACCGCTCGAGACAAACGCAAACGCGCAATCTCGAAGAAATTGGCCGTTTTCGTTTTCCCTCTCGCGTGTGGGTTTCTCTTGATATTCTCAGCTATAAATTGCCTCGGCGTACTTGGAGCGAGCAGCGCGTCAAGCTCGCATGCGTTTAAGCGCGCCTAGTTAAGAGCTATCGACATTCTTCGACGCGGAAACGCAGTTCGCCACTCAGCCTTCGCGGGCGCGGAATATCACAGACGCGACTGATTATGTACGACTGTCGTGGAATCCCGGGATTCCAGGCGTCGTTTAACTCTCGATACGTCGCGCGGCGAGAGTCGAGTCTCTGCGTCGACGACGACATTAGCGTGCCTCCGCGTTTTCCCTGACTGCATATTTCCGTCTCGCCGTCTATTACGCACAGGCGACGGTGCGCCGTCTCCCCGATGTCGTTTGTGTTATTTCGAGTTTCGTAAGAACGCGCCGCATGCCCCGACATCGCGATTTTTTCCGCGATTGTCGTGCTGGACGACGCGCATCGCTCGATCGCCTCCCAAAAGCCGCGCCAATCTTCCGTGCGACCGCGTCTGGTCCGAGAACGATGTCCTCTCCCGACTGTTCAGTCACGTCGACGTTAACGGGAATTAGGCCGGCTTTTTTTCAATTGCGCGGATCGACGACCTCGCTCTTGCAATGACTTTTCGAGATCTCCTCGGGTAACGTGTGACTCTCGTCTCGTAATTCCGAAGCGCGCGCGTTCCCCCGAGTCGGAATTTCGGCCGCGGTTTCGGATAGGGTGGGACAAAACGAATTAGGACGCGGTGGCGGAAACAAATTCGTCGAAATTTCGTCAGAGCCAGTACACGACCGCTCGCGCGCAGCAGAGATCTCGTTACGTTTACCGGTAGAAGGAGGTTAGCTGGGTTAGACGAGCGGTGGCTGTGTCAGAGGAACAGAGGTGAAAGAGGAGGACGAGGAAGAGGAGGACGAGTGGAAGGCGGGTGGAATTCTCTCGGTTTGGTTTTTCGTAGGTCGCACATCACATCCCTCTCTCTTTCTCTTTTCCTCTTTGCCCCGTCTCCGTCGCGCGGAACCACCGTTCTGTGCACACCCGCTGCCATCACCCCTCCCCCCGTCGCCACCCGTATCGCCCCGCAATAGCACACGGCATGGTTCCCTTTTCCGTGAGTGAGTGTAACGTAATGTAAGGGTTGCGCCCGCGTCGGCGTTTGGGGTGAGAGAGTTTAAAACCCCTCGGGGCTTGAGGTCCGGGCCGGTTAGATTTATCGGATGTTTTGGTTGGCGGCCATTGTTAGCCGCCCTCTCTCCACTCTCTTCCTCTCTTTCGCCACTCTACGCACAGTGGCGTAGCTTGCGCTACGTCGTCGCTAGGAAATCGTTTTTCAACTTGCTGCGACGGCGCGTTTCGGGTGTCGATGAGTGCGATGAGAAAATCGACCCAAGTTGGACACCTCGTTCGAGTCGCGTATTTGCGTTACCGCACATGCACGTCGGTTTCCTTCGCAGCACGCACTTTCTGTATGTTGTCAAAATTAATTCATTCAGTCGCGTTTTATTAACCTTATAAATGTTCGGCACGATTTAATCTGCTCTAAACATACAAAAATGCGAAAATATTGTATATATTATTGTAAAGTAAGTCGTGCATTATATATATATATATATTTACGGAATGTAGTCCCATTGAAAAATGGCAAACCCGTTTCGCATTGGTGATCAAAATCTCAGATTCGCGACATCAATAAATCACGTTCACTGCGTTCACTCTGCAAAGGTCTTCGTGTGAAACGTCGAGTATACAACGAGCGTGTTTGACTTTCGTCGATGAAAGGATCGTTGCATTCGCAATGTAACGCGCAGCGCGTATTTATTCACCCGATAATCCCGCGCCCTGTGAAGAGCAACGTTACCAATATACACCGGCGCATGAAAGCATCGTGTGGAAGAATTGCGATGCATGAAAAAAGTGACAAGGCGGCTGAAAAAGACGCGATTTCCTCGATTAAGTCGTTACGTAACGCCAGAGAGAACGGAGGAAAGGAAGAAAGTTCGCGCCATTATTGACACACGCACACACGCATGGGCGCATAATAACCGTTCGATTGCATCGTTACGACATCACGTTACGCCACTGCGGATACCCTCTCGTGGCGTTCCGCGTGCAAACATTCGTCGACGAAGCTCCTCCGTAACGCGAATCCCCGGCAACCTTGCCGGTATTGTGCGCGGTAGTTTGAGTGATGTTCAAGCTCGCGGCTCGCGACCCTTGGGCTCAACCCTTTCGACCGCAGTTCCGTTTGTCTCATTCCTCGGTACACCGCGACTCCTCTAGGAGCAAGCGAGCGTAGCCTCACCGCGCAATCGATGCGGTTCAGATCTAATCTCGCTCGAGACATCGCCCGATTTGTCTTAATTGTAACAGTGCATTAAAAATCAATCGTTTTCTCAATGACCGA